ACCTCTTCCAGTTTCACCACCCTCAGCATAAAAAATTTCTTCCTTATATCTGGTCTAAATCTACCCTCTTTTAGTTTAAAAGCACCACCCCTTGTCCTATTGCTACAGGTCTTGCTAAAAAGTTTGTCCCCATCTTTCTTATAAGCCCCCTTTAAGTACTGACAGGCTGCAATAAGGTCTCCCCGGAACCTTCTCTTCTCCAGGCTGAATAACCCCAACTCTCTCAGCCTTTCTTCATAGGAGAGGTGTTCCATGCCCCTGATCATTTTTGTGACCCTCCTCTGGACCCGCTCCAACAGGTCCGTGTCTTTCCTGTGCTGAGGACTCCAGAGCTGGACGCAGTGCTCCAGGTGGGGTCTCACCAGAGCAGAGTAGAAGGGCAAAATCACCTCCCTCGACCTGCTGGCCACACTTCCTTTGATGCAGCCCAGGATCCAGTTGGCCTTCTGGGCTGCGAGCGCACATTGCTGGCTCATGTCCAGCTTTTCATCCCCCAGTACCCCCAAGTCCTTCTTGGCAGGGCTGCTCTCAATCCCTTCATCCCCCAGCCTGTATTGATACTGGGGGTTGCCCCAACCCAGGTGCAGGACCTTGCACTTGGCCTTGTTGAACTTCATGAGGTTCACATGGGCCCACTTCTCGATTTTCGCATGGCTTGCTGAATTTATTAGGTTTGTAACATGTTCCTTCTCTCTTCTTTCATTTGGTTGTCAAGCAGATCACTCTTGGGGAGCAGAGAGGATAATCAATGGCTTATACTGGCACTAACTATGCACTAAAAGGTCTTCCTTTTAGTACAGGAGAGTTTGCATCCTCAGGATAACATGCAGAAGCCTCTGCTAAGATAATTCAGAGGAATCTTTGGCTGCGATAGTAAACACAGTGTTAATTCCAGGCGGCAGCACTGGGACATGCAGAAGCTGTTTCATATTCACCAGACTTATTCCTAAAAGTCAGTGTACGTTTCAACCATTTCACTGCACAAATGTGCGTCACTGCATGGCAGGTTTGGAAGTCCCTGCCAGAGTGCTGCTCCAAACACTTCCTAATATATGCAACAGATGCCAAATTATTCCTTTTTATTTTCACAGCTTGTGTTCATGCACCCAATGCCCATAGACTTACCCTGCCAACCAAGGCAATTTGGTCTTTTGTCAAGATACTTGTGTGAAATATTCATGAGTCATAGATGGAAATTTTTGGCCCAAAGTTTTGTAATTGGTGACAATGGTATTGCCTTAACAACTTTCCCCAGACCTGGCATTTCTCTGGTATAAGATGGGCATTCTGTATCTAATGCTGCAGAATGGAGAGGGATAAAGACTTCAGGAGAGGGAGAAGTAGGGAATAGTAAAGGTTAGTAAAAGAAATCCAGGAAGAAAAATGGAATAAATTGTGTTTTCAACACTTTGGAGCATTTACTAATAGAGAGGCATGAGAGAATTTCATAAAATGAACGCATCCTTATCAAAGAAATATATGATACTCTCATCTCAAATGTTTTTAAGGCCGTTAAAGCAGAAAACCTTCAGAATTAAATTTCTCCTCTTTTCTTCATGCATGTATGTTGGTGGAAGTTTTTCTGTTAATTTATTGCCTTCTCTGCTTCCCACTCACTCTTCAAAAGCTGGTATAGAGAAGTAGTGCCTGTCATTTGAGGCAGTTTGGATGCAAGTCAAAGCCTAAGGCCCTTTTTTCTTTTTCTGTATAATTGCCAAATTAATGAGTTCAATTGGGCTGCACCCTGCAGTAAACATAATAAAAGTCATAAAAAATAATGAACTGGATTATATTTTAACAATAGATGTCTTGTTGCTCAGTGCCCACTTCCACGTCTTATTTTTTCTAGTATTTTCTTCCTTTCTGTAAGAAATAAGATATCCTTATCAAGAGCTGTATTGACCTCATGGGTTGTGCCATGTCCTTGCTCTGGTACAGCATTCTTTAATGACTGCCATTCATTTAAAAACCTGGTGATTAGATAATACACTTTGACATGTCTGGGTAATGCTGTTCTTTCTCATATGAAAAAGTCCTAGAAAATGTGTTAGGGATGACATGTAAAGAGACATAGTTCCAGCTGCTTTAAACCTGCAAAGCTCCATTTGCTTGAGTAGAAATGCTGTTATTTATGCCAAGCAGGTAAACCTCTGGCGGTTAGAGATCCATGCGCTCAGGGACAGATAGGAAAGACAGTGAGGCTCTCCAGAAGGCAATGCAGTCAGACACTCCAAAAGTAGGAAAAGGAACAACATTATAGCAGTGAGAAATGCTGTGTGAAGTAATAAAGCACCAGCCTCCATTTTCATGCTAATCTATTTGCTTTTTCATCAGCTGGACACTTGATTATATTCCCTAGAGTAATCTACGTACCCAGCCTCCCACACGTATCTCCTATCTCCCTCCCCCTTAGGAGGTTTGCCATGACAAAAGAAGATTGTTAATTTGACGTACATTTTTTACTGCTTACAGCTTGATCTTGTGAGATGCTAGAGCATCTCATTTAAAGTGCTGAGGATCCTTGATTCATACCCATTTTAACCCGTTAGTAGCACTTAACGCTGTCTAAGAGGAGGGAAACCTTTATTGTGTCATTTTACTACAAATCTGCCCCTTCTTCTTCAGTGGGCCTGTTCCCCAGGTGTATAAGCAGCTAGTTCTGCCAGTTTCGGGGAGAAAAGCCAGTGCATGTGTCCTATGTCTTGATTCTGCTCATTCCAGAAACGGGAGAGGCCACTGGCATCTATTCCATCTTATGTGACACCAGCAAAATTATTTAGTGAATTCCAGTGATTTACAATCTGGAGTGTAGCCCAGGCTATCAGTGAATCTTCCAGAGTCAGTGTTACTGGGGATAACCTTGCCAAAGAAAAGAGCTCAGCTGGACTCTGGAGACTCCAGACCAAGTTTCCAAGCTGAACAGGAGAAAACCTCCCAATGTTCTGGGGCCCTTTTAACCTGTGCTTGTTAAGACACCTATAAATGAAGGGCCAAGAAAATCATTAATGAAAATACAAAAATGAAAAGCCATATTTTAACATGGCAGACCTGCATGCACAATTTTTCCAGGCCCAGCTTCCATGTGTGACATACACGGGGCCCCTGGAGTCCATACAGCCAACCCCAGTTCAGATTATGATACATACAAGCCTAAGACAACCAGCTGTTTTAGATGGATAACCAGGTGCTAATTTAATAATGAGCATAGACCCTTTACATGCAGGGAGCTATTGCCCCAGCTCTCCAGGGGCTTGCAGAGTTGTTATGGTGTGTGCGAGACACATGAGCTAATTAGTATGTAATTTGCTTTCACACTCTAACCCTAGCTCCTTAACGACCCATTTAAATGAGAGGCCCTTTCTCTTTACTGCTCCCTATGCTAATCTCTGGCTCACTGGCTTAGTTACAGCTGCTTATGAATATTTTAGGGAGTGACAGTTTTCCAGCCCACTTTAATTGAGTGGGGGGCACTGGTTTACCAAATTGCAAGTGAATCTTTCTGTACTCTTCTTTTTAGTTGCCTGCAGTAAGTAGAAGCAAATGATTATTTGCACAGCTGAGCTGTCTTCCAGTTGTGGTCTTTCTACTATGTGCGTTAAATGGGCAGTGAGATGACAGTTGTGTGATTCATGGAGCACTCTGGAATGGGGAATGAGTGCAAATTGCTGGACGCTGCTGAGGTCAAGCTTTGTTCTTCATCCCGAAGGTCTAGACTTCAAATTAGTTTCCTAGTTTGCTCCTCTCTCTCCTAGTCTCTGCCCTTCCTCATTCTGCTTCAGTCTGAGTCTTTGCCGTGGGAAGTGAATCTACTAATAACTCTCTCCAGCTGTTTATTGCTTTGCTGGAAAGCTGATGTATAGTAATCCTTTTTGCAGATGGCTTTCCTGGTCTGGAGAGGTTGTCTTCTTCCATTGAGTGGTGAATGTCTGCCAAAACAAGTGAAAGCCTGTTGCTTGCCATACTGCAAACTGGACTTGTCATGGCATTATAAAGTATCCTGTGGAAGAAAAAAAACTGCAGTCTTTTGGTGGCAGGTCTTTTCATTTCTGACATTTTCATGCTAAATTCTTCCCTACTAGAATATGGCTGATTTCAGTGGAATTTTCCCTGGGTTTAGGTTGGTCCAGCAATTCTTTGGCTGTATCTCATGGCTGACAACATCTTCTCTCCCCTCAAAACCACACCTGTCAGAGTGCTACCTTCAAGTTCTGTGTAGTGTCCCCCAATAACATTCATGTCCCTGCATTTTTCCTTTAGCCTGTTTAACTTAAAATGGAATGTCAATGAAGTGCATTGAGATGGTGAAACAATAAGCAAAATCAAACATTTGTTGATAAAATCAGTGTGAAAAAACAGAGCAATTTCATTTTATGATGAAACCACCATCTGATGCTGAAAGAAACTGCGAAGTTGGACTGCTGTCAGTGGAAAGCCTGAACTGAGTTTTGCATGGTGTTGATATCTTCTCTCTTAGTACTGAAAATTCATTCCTTTGTAGGATGGCCAGAGTTCACTCATTATATAGACACCCTGAATGGGACTAATGAATGGAACAGTCTCTGTCCTGGCCCTCTGCATAGGAGTGGATTTCACTCATTGACAGATTGAAGGTCCAGCAAAAAGTTCAGCTTGCTTTAAAAAGCAAGATCCTGTGATTGTACTGTCAGCCCAACAGGACACTTTCAGAAAAGGAACTTTCCAAGTCCTAGAACACCAAAGGATTTGAAATTGGGTGGGAAGGAACTCAAATCCCTGTGTTACCAGCTTCCGCATATTGTCACAAGAAATGGAGAGATCCCTGGAGACAAACCGGAAATATGTCCCCTGGCTTATATGCACTTTATATATGCAGTATTAATTGGTATATTAGCTCAGTCAAAAGAGTTACCATTGCTCCTGATTTTTCATTGCTGGTCACACATGCTGCCAGACTAACACTGTGTGGTCCGTCATTGTAAGTTTTCACTAAATGTAATGTTGTTCTGGATGTTCTCTGACACTGTTTTCCACTTACTGTTAGTAATAGTATCACATCTGGAGTGTTATCAAAACTTTCTTGTGTGTTTTTCAGTATTTTTTCTAGCTGGGGGTATGTAAGAAGTAGTGCTCAATATTCTAAACCATCTCTTTCTTTTCATCACGTCAGGCTTGCCAAAAAATCCTGGTTCGGTAACTTCATCAACCTGGAGAAAGAAGAACAGATTTTTGTGGTCATTAAGGATAAACCACTAAGCTCCATTAAGGCTGATATTGTCCACGCTTTCCTCTCGGTAAGTCACCCCAGCTGCCTCTTGGAGGCATTGCTCACTGGTCAGTTCCAGGACTCCTTGTGCCATATGTTACTGGGACGGGTCTCTGCTCCTTCAGATGCATCCTCTGTGGATTTAATTTACATGGCCTGTTGATTCAGGCCTCCACTGGACTCTGAATTTCTAACTGTAGATAATGCTCTCTAAAGTGAGAAAAGATTTCAGCCTTCTTGGCAGGATCTCCAGGTTACCAGTGCTTGGAATATCACTGCAGTTAGAGCACACTGCTGGTGCGGTATCAAGACAGTGATTTGCTCTTTGTCAAACTAACCTTACAGTCACTGGGCATCAGATTGGGTCTCCGTCTGCTGGGTATGCCCTCCACCACTTTAGTCAGACAAAAATCCTGTCTCACATCTGCATTTGTTACTTTAAATCTCCTCTTCAATGCTGTATGGCAGAAAGAAGGGTAATTTCCTCTGGTGACCAGAGTATCAGTTGTTGCAGATGCAGTTTATTTACAATCTAGGAAAGCAGAGGGAAATTGTCATTTTTTCCTATACAAAGTCCTTATTCTCACTATCTAGAAGTACCAATGAAGAAAAAGTCAGCACAGTAAAGTTAATTTAAGAGATTTTTCAATTCAAGGTAGTTGACAAGGTAATTAGACTTTTTTTCAATAGATTTAAGAGGAGACTTAATTTCGTATATCGTTTGTTGAATTGATACTGTTTTCCACAAAATACTGCACTCCTTTTTAGTCTCTGTGATGCTGCAATGAATTTCTTCCAAAAAAACAGCCATAATCCTTTTAACTGTACAGGCATACAAGGAGCAAGTGCAGTATAGTAGCATACATCAGACACTGGTATCCATCTCAGATTGGTTTGAAGCAGCCATGTTACTGTATCAGTTTCATGCATTTAGCGGTGCTTGTGGGTTTATATTGTGGCGTAGTGTGCACTACTGTCTATATTGGTGATCCTGTGCATACCCCACATGTGTGGGTTGAGGTGTGATGTAGTGATTTGTGTGCAAACCCTATGAATCATCTCTTACAGTCAACTTAAATGCATTGTCACAGCCTGCTAAGTAAGTCCTTAAGGTCAGCTTCTCAAAGAACTCATCTTCATTTTTCCTCCTAAATTAGAGGCCAGATTTCCAAGTGATTTGTTTTTTTTTTTTTAAATCTGGTCCTTTATGAAGCAATAAATAGAATGTGAGTATGTTAAATTTTGTCAGGAACTGTGCATAGTAACTGCTTGAAAATAAGGCATTATGAAATTCTACCATGGGTCTGAAGATACAGATATTGGATAATACCAGAAAGCTTCTCAAAGTTCTTTAACATATTGATCGGAGTTGTGGTTTGGGTAAGTTATTTGCAGGCATGCTTTCCTTGTGGATATCCCAGGCACTTCTCTAAGTGTCTGCTCCGTGTCCTGATGTCTATTTGATATCGTAGAATCACCAAACAGTTGAGGTTGGAAAGGACTTCAGGAGGTCTCCTGCTCAAAACAGGATCAACTATGAGATCAGACCAGGTTACTCAGGTGGTTTTTTTATATCCAGTCTTATATCCCACTGACTTCTCTGCCCCCTCCCTTAATATCAGTTTTCAGTCAGAAAAAGGCATTTCTCAAAACTGGTAGATGAGTAGGAAAGAAAGACTGAGTGTATGAAGTTGTGCAACATGTGTAAATTTATAAGCATGCTGGGTATTCCACCAATATTCAACCTTTAAATTCAGGTCAGTCCTGTAAGGAGCAGTTCATTCTTCTGCGGTGCCAAGCAACCTACACTCTTACTGGTTTCACAGGAACACTCTGTGCATTACAAATTCAAGACCAGAAGCAAATCTTATCTACTCTGGAAATGTGTATCGTTCTAAATCGAATTTTGCAATTTTGTTCCCTTTGTGCTCTGGTTCTCTATCTTCTTCTACCAATCTGTTTCAGATTCCAAGCCTCAGTCACAGTGTCATCTCACAGACAAGTTTCCGTGCAGAATATAAGTCCACAGGTGGTCCTGCTGTCTTCCAGAAGCCAGTGAAGTTCCAGGTGGACATAACATACACAGAAGGGGGAGAGGCGCAGAAGGAGAATGGAATCTATTCTGTCACTTTCACACTCCTATCAGGTAACCATGGCAAAGCTGTAAAATGGGTGCAAGCTGGCTTTGTCCTTGCTGATACAGAGGCCTGCAAAGAGAGCTCTGCCGGGGGGGAAAATATAACTGTCTTGACCCCAGGGGAAAATTCAGACGGGGACAAGGAGGACATCGGGATCAAAAATGGTGGTGGTGGTGATGGAAATGCTGGGAGGGAAAGAGATTACCAAAGAGGTAAAGTTGCCACCACCATGATTAGTGCTAAAATGGCTGCTCTGTGCATCGATTTGAAGTATCTCCCTGTACTGTCTCCTTGTTTCACTCAAAGGTCTCAGTGTCTCAGCTGTGCACTGTGAGGCCACTGGTTTCTTCCTTCTGACAGAAACATGCAATCACCCTTTTCTTCCGGGTGGCCACATCCCCCCCACAGGGGTTAAAACAAGCAAACAAAAAAACCCCCACCTTTTCTGTCTTTACAAAAGGAGCCCAGAAGCTTCCTCCTGTTAAGTCCAGCACATCACAGTCCCTATTAACGTGGGGACTGCATAATAGTTCCTCAAATCTGTGGCTTCGGCTGAAGGACAGATACACTGTCAGTACACTCTTGGGGACAAGACTGAAGGGAAGATGTTTGTGATCCTTCCCCTCCAGCCTGGGTTGTATGAGGATTCGGCTCCTGCTCCTCTCACAACCATTTGTGCCTCTTCTCTCCTCACAGGTCCAAGCCGTCGTTTTAAGAGGGTAGTAGAAACCATTCAGGCACAGTTGTTAAGCACACATGACCAGCCTTCAGTGCAGCAGTTATCAGGTAAGTAGTTTCTACTGTTGAGCACCTTGCTTCAGCAGGGACAGGAAGGTGAAGTGCCTCTCAGTACCAGGAGGCTGAGGGAAGACATCCCTCTGAGTACAGCAAGAAAAGAGCTCCATTCAGACAGAGCAGTAACTCCCCGCACCCACCCTATTCCTCCCTCTCTCATTCCCACCCCAGTGCTCCCAGCGCATTCCCCAGTTGAACAGCTTCTGCCCTCTTCCCGCCCAAAGAGCCATTTGCCCACTTCTCCATCAAAAGCTGCATCATCAGTAGATCTTCCAGATTTTCTCCTGCTCCAAAATCTCCCGGAATAGGGACATGCTCTAGAAGATAACTGATTTTGAAACCCTTCAGGCATGCTTTAGAAACGTCCGACTTCAGAGGGTCCCAGAACAAAGTTGAGAGCTACTTCTAACTTAGCCATTAACAGCAGCATTTTCAGATGGTCAGAAGGTGGCTAATAGTTTCCAGTAGTGTGGTCAAATTCTTGGCCCACTACTGTGGTAGCACGAATCATATACTAAGGTTCTGCAGAAGCTATATTTTATCTATTTTTAAAGTAAATTTCAATTCCTCATGGTGGTAAAGAAAGCCTTACATGTGTGACCCTGTGCAATGACATCAATCTGAATCTGCAGGCAGCCTGAATTGATAATACAGAAACTGGCCTCATCCCACCATTATGTAGCAAATGTTCACTCTGAATACTAGTGGTGACACACACACAAAAAAAATATCAGTCTTAACTCTTCTATCCTTTAAAAGGACAGAACAAAGGAAGAAGGTGAAAACTGAAAACTTAAGGAAGCTTAGCTATTGGGAGTGTTTCAAGGAGGGAGAAGCAGAAAGAATGTACAGATACAGGGAAGAAATAGGAGCAAGGCAGAGAGCAGAGGCTGCAGGAAGAAGACAAAGAGGCAGGAGGAGTGGGAAGAACTTTCCCATTGTATGATGATGAAAAGGTAGTAACTAAACATTATACATAAGAGCCAAATTCTATGCTTGACCTTTGTGTGAACCAGCCAAGACAAAAGTGGAAGAATGAAGTTGTCATTGCATCCTGCAGTTAAATCCCAGATGTCCTTGGCTCATTGCACATACAGGTTACATCCTTCTGGTCTAACAGTGTGGCTTCAACAGCTGAAGATAAAATAACTCCATCTAGAAGGGTGTGTACATGACAGAGAAGTATGCTCAGTTGCGGAAATACTATTTTCGACTTTGCTTTTGCCCTCTAGCACTGCCTGACCCTCTGCACGCTGGATTGCAAGGGTGCCTAGCATATGGGTTATTCTGTTAGGAAACAGGAAAGGTGAGGATACTAGAACTAGAACTAGGGCTGATTCAGGTTTTTGCTGTCTGGACTTCTGAAATTAATTCGAACTCAAGGAAGCAGCCAGAATTTTCTGCCAGCCCTTCCTCTTGGGAAATGCTGGGGCCAAGTGGGAGTGAGGGGAATTAGATAGAAAACCATCCTTTGAGTCTAGTTCATATTAGCCCTGCTGCATGAACAATGTTCAAGCATTCCTTGTTTCTTAGGGAAAGAAGTGTACCCTTTCTTTCTGGTGAGGAAAAAACTGTTAAAAAAGTAAATATCACGGTGATCTCTCTTAACTTCTTCACCCTATTATGTGCTAGCTACTGAGGCTCTCCAGAAAGACTTGGACCCTGTTGCACACTTGCATGTGAAGCAGGATATCTCCCTAAGAAAGTCGTATTATAGCAGGAATAATTCATCTGACTAAGGCTGAGGGAGATGTTTAGGGGCAAACTGTGCTGTGAGAAATGTATCTGACTTACAGTTTTGCTCTGGTTCTGGAATGGAGAAATCATATTATAGACACAGAATCTCTTTCTTCTGCCTAAAGCTACATGAGAGCATGTCGTTCTAGCAGGGAAAACCCAGCCTGATCTTTAATGCCAGAGTGGAACGGATAACTCCATATGGAGCAAAACCAAAATTAATGGTCTCTTGAAACTTAAAAATGAGAATTCCTTCGGCCAGGGAGTTATCCAGGCAAGACAGCTCACGAGAGACAGGATGCCGAACTATCCTGTATCATATAACCTGACCTGATCAGGAATATGCAAGTCTCTTGAAAAAGAGCGAAGTAATTCAACCTGAAAAATTTAGGTTGGAGCAGAGTACAAAGAAAAGAGAAAAGGAAGGGGGAAAAAAAAAGATTGTTACCGAGAAGAGACAACCTGTGCATCAAAGTAGGGAGGCCCTGTGGTTCACATCCCCAGCCAGTGAGAGAGTAAGGGGAAATAAAGGGATAAAGGGACAGCAAGAGTTCACATTCAGCATGTTGCTTAGCTGGGTGGCTGTGGTGGGGAATATGTGTGCAAGTGCTTCCTAGAAATAGCCATGAAATTACTCAGCATTTCTTACTATAGAAACAAGGCAAATTCTTCTCTGTTTCTCTTCTTCTCCCGTATTCCCAGCCCTGAACACCTCACAGGAATTGTGGTGGTTGGACTCCTATTCAGGTTCATGGTTTGAGGATACTCTGTAGGCAGTCCACTGCTGCAACAGAACGAGCTCACAGTTCACTTTGACTCTCCTCCTCCATGGCTCTGAGGATACTGCTGGCTCTGACCAGCAATACTGGCCCAGCACTGGAGATTTTCCTAGCTCATTGTGTGCAGACATATCTTCTGTGTGGTTGTCTCCCCTGCCTTTTAGTTCAGATGCCATTACAGGTGGGATGATGAAAACCATCTGTGAAAGGTGCATGCATGTAAAGTGAGACCTGCAGAAGGGGAAGATTCAATGAACACAGTATAAAGCAGAACAGCAAGACCTAATAAGCATATGGCACTGATAGTCATTCTCTCTCCTGCCCCTCTTTGATCTGTTATGCAGCATGCCAGCCCACTAAGCCGGCTTGCCTGGGTTTCAGAACGCACTTTCCTCTTTCTCATTTCTTCCAACTCACAACAGTGTTTGTAAATGTTGTGTTGCCCATGCATCTGTGTGTGTGTGTGTGTGTGTATGTGAGCCTGATATGTACCTGATTTAGGCAGATGTGTTTCTGCATCACACTTGAGCACCTTATAATCTCCCTTCCCCTGGATATCCATCCATTCACTTCCATTTTTCCTTCCTAAGACTGGCTGTGCTTATTTCTTCTAACATACTCTGAAGCTTCCCTCCCTTACCTGAGTAAGTGTGTAAATAAATGGAATCTATCCCAAAAGCTAATGTAATACTTCTAAAATCCACTGTCCAGTTGGCCAAATTTAGTGCAACATATCAGCCTTCTACCTTAATGTTTCAGGACATTAAATCCTCTGTGGTATAACTGCTGAGACAATACCAGGTATACAGTCTCATGACTGGCATAGAAACAAGTAGCTAGGGATTGATTGTTCCTTTTTTCTTCCCAATGAAAGAACTAGAGGCCATCATATGAAACTAGTGGAAGCCATGTACCAAAAGAATATTGGAAGGTGTGTCTTCACGTAATGTAAGACCTGTGGAACTCCTCGAAGAAGCAGGTTCTGAATGCGAGGAGCTTGCAGATGCTTATCTTCCCCTGAGTACTCCTTACTTACAGGGAGGCTGGACAACTCCCTGGAAGAGAAATCTTCATGAGGATTGCTAAACAGAGAAACCACAGCAGGCTCAGGAAATCTCTGACCTGAAAGTGGTGAGAGAGTGAGGTAGTGTTAGGAGGAAGTGTTCTGTATGCTTGGCCTGCTGTTACACTCCTGCATATCTATGTGTGGCTGCTGATGGAGACAGAACACTGGATGGTTTGGGTCTTTGATCTTAACCAGAATAGCTGTCCATGCGTTCTTGTTACTGGTATCACAAAATCCATTAAACCCAGCAAGGTCATGAAAGGACAGTCCCTTTTGGGTCAAGAGTGAGTATCACTGTCTATGAGAGCAGCTGGCCTTGTCTCTCGTCCATGGCTCCATCCAGGAGCCTTATACTCAGAATCTCTACTTAGGTAATCCCTGGGCAGGACTGCTCTTTGGTGGGATAAAAGGATCTCTCTCCATGGAAGAAAATATCTCAGATTTGTGCCTTTGTTTCAGCCCAATACTCTTTCCATTAAATCATAATCTGTTTTCCTCCAATGCCTTTGCACAAAGACTAATAGAAACAGCTGGTGAATAGGGACATGCAAAAGCCATCTGTGATCATTCACAGAGTATCAATTTTTATTTCCCTAATATTTTCTTGCCTCTTTGGGCTTTGGTTTTAAGTGTGAGGTGCTGCATATTCTTATTTTTTCCCATTTTCCCATGTTCTGAGCAATCAGCAATACTGAAATAGCCTTTATAACTTCTTTGTAATAGGTTTTCTGTTTCTTCATTATATTTATTGGCTTTATGACAGATGTTAACCATTGGCATCTCAAAGTTCAGAGCATCTCAGTGTTACTGCTGGAAATGCCTTTCATCAGCATAAAAAAGTGTTTAGAGACCATACGCAGCTTCAAAATAGGGCAGTGCAAATTCTTGCTCATTGTGTGTATCTTCTGTATATGCACCCAAGCTCTCTTATTGTGCTGGTGTACATCTCAAAAGGCAAAACGTGTTCATGTGATTCAAAAAACTTTGCTAGAGTATTGATCTGTGCATGCTGCATGTTCATCTTTATGGCTCACAAGAGCTGTAGGTTGACTAATTTGCTATAAAAAATTAGTAAGAAACTTACAGTTTCCAAATGTGCGAAGGATTTTATCATCAAGACAGAAAAGGGAGTAAGGAGCAAATGAAGTGCTTTGCAAGGTAAACTTCCAGCTGCAGACTCAAAACAGGGCTATGCAAATGCCAGTTTGGAATTGGACCACAAGACAGTTTTATCCGGGGCTCATCCAGGTCCCAGGTTTATCTTGTTTCCTGCATTCTTGTGAAATCATTTATGTCTTACCACTCTTATAGTGTCTGGAGCAATCACTTCATCTTGCTATCATGGTTCCCACCTACAAAAGGTGCCGTGTAATGCGTGGTTGGATTGGCAGAGCACTGTTTTTTTGCTA